CATCAATTTCTTTTTTATGGTTTACAAATTATTATTAATAAATCTCCTCAGTCTTGAAATTAATTTCAAGTACTTTTATCTTTTTTAAATTTTTTTGATGTTTATTTTTGAGAGACAGCATGAGTGGGGAAGGGACAAAGAAAGAGGAAGTCAGAGAAGCCGAAGAAGGCTTCAGGCTCCAAGCTCTCAGCACAGAGCCCGATGCAGGGCTCAAACTCACCAACTGCGAGATCATGACCTGAGCCGAAGTCAGACGCTTCACCTATAGAGCCACCCAGGCATCCCTCAAGTAGCTTAGATATGCATTCTATTCCAAAGCCAAATATCAAGACTTCAAAATTGTGCTTGCTTTTTGGTAAATTTAGCCACATTTTCCATCATGAGCATAAATAATTAATAGAAACCAGGACCACATTTAAAATTAGAAGATAAGTTCTGGGATGTCTAGATGACACAACTGGAAGAGCATGCAACTCTTGATCTCAGAATCATGAGTTCAAACATCATGTTGAGTGTAGAGATACCTGAAAAAAAAAAACTTTAAAAAAAAAGATAGGTTCTTCATCTGATATCCACACAAACTACAAAAGGTTTAAAGGGCTTATACTTTATCTCATGCAGTGCAAAACCTATGACTGACAAGTCTGGTAGGTCACAATTAATTTTAAAAAGGAAAAATTAATTATTGCCTGAAATATACCTCAACAAAGTGTTGTACTGTACACAGGGTAAGAAAAGATAATAAAAGAGAGAGAAAAAAAGAGAAACACTGAAATTTGTACTAAAAATTATCCTAGTTCCATTGATAATATTAATAACTCACCTTTAGATACATTATCACATTTCATTCTACCAACAACATTTTACGATAGGCCCTACTATAACTACCTTTTACAGATAAGAAAACTAGGGAACTAGAAACAGCAAATCCAGGCTTCAAACCTATGTCTATTTGGCTTGAACTATGGACTATTATACTGCCTCTGAAAAATAACTATTGTTAAGTGAAGAATCAAGAATTAGTTCATCAGGTATTATCAGGGACCAATCCAAACTCGAAAGCACTGGTATATACTGGTGTATGTGTAGAAGATTTTAGACTATACAGGGCTGATTTTCCCTTTTTAAGTAAACATTTTTTTAAGTTTATTTCTTTATTGTTTGAGAGTGAGAGAGCATGATGAGGGAAGGGGCAGAGAGAGAATCCAAAGTGGGCTAAGTGGGGCTTGAGCTCACTACCGGGAGATCACGACCTGAACCAATATCAAGAGTCAGACACTTAATACACTGACCCACCCACATGCCCCTTTCCTTTTTTTTTTTTAGAGAGAGTCTGCAAGTCAGGGAGAGGAGAAAAGGGGAGAGAGAGAGAGAGAGAGAGAGAAGGAGGGGGGAGAGGGAGGGAGGGGGAGAGAGAGAGAGAGAGAGAGAGAGAGAGAAATCTTAAGCAGGTTCCATGCTCAATGTGAAACTGGATGCAAGGTTCAATCCCACAACCCTAGGATTATGACCTGAGCTGAAATGAAGAGTCAAACACTCAATTGACTGAGCCACCCAGGCACCCCAATAATACAATTTATCAATAACTGTATAACAAAAAGGCAAGCTCATTGGCATTTTCTACATGCCTGATCATTCCTCATTTGGCTTCTCTCCTCATCATTACAATAATATTACTCCTCTTCTTTTAAGTTTATTTATTTTGAGAGAGAGCTCACATGCACAAGCAGGGGAGGGGCAGAGAGGGAGAGAATCCTAGGCAGGCTCCTCAGTGGCTGTCCGCCCAAGCCCAACACCAGGCTCAATCCCACCAGCCATGAGATCATGACCTGAGCTGAAATGAAAAGTTGGACGCGCAACCAACTGAGCTACCCAGGGAACCCTGATATCACTTCTGTTAAGACCTCCAACAATCTCTCAACTCCCAAATTCAGTGATAGTTTTCATTCTCACCTCTCTGGGCCTTGAGCCAGAACAAACCCAACTGACCATTCTGCTGCTTAAAAGTAAACTCCCCCCAACCCCTGTCCCTGGACAAGACTCCAGACAATTCTACTTCTTAGTTTTCGTCCCTCCTCAGTTTCCTTCAGCAAGTGAACCCTCCCACTGCACAACCCATAAATGCAAGCGGTTTCCCCCCACACATACATCCAATCTAGCACTTCTTTTATTATTTTTTGGCACTCCTTTTTAAAAAATGTAATTTATTTGGGATGCCTGGGTGGCTCAGTTGGTTAAGCATCTGACTTCAGCTCAGGCCATGATCTTGCAGTTCGTGGATTCAAGCCCCACACTGGGCTCTGTGCTGACAGCTCAGACCCTGGAGCCTGCTTCGGATTCTGTGTCTCCCTCTCTCCATGCCCTTCCCCTGCTCATGCTCTGTTTCTCTCTCTCAAAAATAAACAAACATTAAAAAAAAATTTTTAAGACAAAAATAAAACTTAAAAATGTAATTTACTAAATGGACTTGTTCCCAAGTCATAGTCGCAAAAATCTGTCTGCAATTAGATTTTAAGGAATCCTTAACATTTTAATCCACAATACTTCACTATACACTCCATGAAGGTGAGGTCTACTGGTTTTTGTGTCCCTTAACATACAATAGACACTCAGTGTTTTTTGCTGAATAAATGAAAGCAACCTTTGGTGTAGCCTAATATTAACATCTCACTGGAGCAGGTAGTAGCTAAAAATGGTATTTATTTTTTAAAATCTGTGATGAGTCACAAACTTTCTAGACAAAGAACAGGTGGGACTAAATGAGTAGTTCCCCCCCTACCAAGCAGATAAGATCTCATACCAGCCCTGAAACTGATTATTTAGGATACCTTTAGTATATTATCAGCCTTTCTCTGATTATTTTTAAACCATGACATCTCATTCTTAATAAATTCAACCTTGAGTAATTACACTGTTGCAAAGAATTGGGAAATACCCTACTACCAATGAAACATGCCAAATTTAGAACTTTAATTTCAGGGTTAAATATACAAGGCATCAGAAGCCTAATGACGTGTGAAGAGAAAATCACCTTAAACACAAAAACCATGCAATTTCTTTCATTTCAGAATCACAAAATCTTAGAAATAGGAAGAAACATGATGATTTTGTCTCACTTCCTAGTCAACCACCAATCCTTTATACAGAATCCTTGACAGTTTTGGAAGCTCTGCCTGAATACTCAATCCTCTTATATTCTAATTACCTTCAAAAAGTAAATCTCTTTGCATTGTTGGGCACATTGCTGAACATAATGTTCAGTTTTAAGGTTTTGAAAGGGTTAGGTGGGAGCTAATGGAGAAAAATACTGAAAGGTCTTTTTCCTTTTCAACTTCTCAAACATTGGTAACATGATGCTCAAAATCTCAAACTACATTAATCCAAACTGGAGTTAATAAAATACAGTAGTACCAATTCAGCGAACCTCCTGTAACCTGTGTATCTACAGAATTAATGTAAAGCTGCAGGAAATGAACTCAGAGCTGAGCTTGCTGGGAGGAACATTCTCGTTCCCCATGGTACCTAAGAGACATCCAATCAGGGCACCTGAAACTGCTAGAGAACTCTCAGTGCTTCCTTAAGTTTCCTAAAACAAGACTCATCTCTCCATGTCCGAGGTCCCTTTCACCTCCATAATTCTCCTCCTGAAACATGTCATTTATGAGAGGCAGGCAGGACATTTCTGCTAGGAAGGGTACATGATATGCAATCACCTGCTTATAAAGAATTAATGGAAGAGTCTGCAACTATTCAAAAAAGGTTGAGAGTAATTACATAAGGAGGGTGACAATGACATTTTACTCTCAAGAGCATCTAATTACAAAATACTTTGTTCTCTCCAGTTCAATAGTTAAGTCCTTTGACATATGCTATACCTTTATTAGAAAATGATCCCATTTGTAATGATTCTAACACTATTTTAGACTAATTTCAGGTCACACTACTTTGAAACTTTGTAGAACCTTAAATCCACAGGTAAAAAGCACCTTAGGTTATTCTAATCACTCCTGCAGCTGGTTAATATCACTAGTCATAATCTATTTCTAAATTCCCTAAGCCAATCTTCATCATAAATTCAAAAAGAGGGGGCTACTGTGACACCTACACGCTTTCATTGAAAGCCTGCTATTTTATCTTTGTTTGTACTAGAAGTCTTACCACACATGGATGTTTCCCAGGTTCCTCTCACTATTTCATTCCCTGTCCTATGCCCCACCACTCTCAACAGGAAAACTCAGTCTGGTCCATACTAGGCACTAAAAATCTATTCTCCTATAGGAGACAAACAAGCTACAGTTTGCAAAGATAACCGATACACCTTGTATGCTATCGTCTATCAATCCAAGCAAGATAATACGTGGCACACCAAACCCAGATCCATTTTGGAGATTTCCCTCCAAGGCCCAAACGTGTGTATTATGCAACAGCCACCATGCCGGGTTTTAATCCCTGTCTGTGATGCAGTGATAAAATACAAACGGCACAAGTATAACCCACTAGGTACTCAGGAACATTCAGAGAAGTCAAAACAAGAATTACCAAATTCTGAGGCACCTTGAAAATGACAAACGGTCCAACAGTTCTGAATCACAATTACAACTTTTCCTTCCCGTAGTCGTTGAGTAACCTGTTCGTTCAGCCCCAACCACCTCAAAATCCTCACACTTGAGCATTTTAATTGAGGTTTCCAAAGGATCTCTCAAAAGGGGAACGGGGGGGGGGGGGGAGGCCTGCATCAGGTGGTTATTTTAGAATCTACTCTAATAATCTAAAATAAGATACCCACACCAGCTTCCAGAATCGAGGTTTCGTCATTTCTCCCAAAGGACAATAATAGGAGTAAATGCAATCCAGATCCCTGAGGCATAAACAACCCGGGGCTCCAAGCTTCACCCACCGATCTCCTGGGGGCACAGGCCTCGAAAAGCTGCACAATGGGCAGCTAGGAATTAGAACAAAATTGCAAGGACCTGCATTCTAGAAGAGAAGCTATACAATACCTATTCCAAGGAGGTTAAATGCAAGGGAGGTGGTGAGAGCATCTCCCGAGGCCACCTGCGTGGCTGGCTGAACCCGAGCCTCAACGCCGGAGCGCGCCGCCTCACCAGGTCCGCTTTCCACCGAGCCCGGGCGACGAGCGAGCGCGGCCGGGCTCCAGGTGGGGCGCTGCGGGAGGGGAGGGGTGGGGAGGGGGCTCGGCACGCAGCGGCCGGGGAGCCGAACCCGCGCCCAGGCCAGTCTAGGAAGCAGGCGGCATTCCCTCACACAAAATGGTGGCGCTGACGCGGAGGCCCGCGCACCTGGGGGCGCGCCACACGCCCCTCGGGGGACGCGGCCGGCCGCCGGCAGCTGGACGCGCGCCCGGGGCCCGGGAGGCCGGCGTGGGCCTGCGCCACGGCCGAGGCCACAAGGCGGCCCGCAGCCGGCGGCCCGCGTCGCCGCCCGCGGGGCCGTGGGGGCCGGAGCCTGCGGGGCGCGGGGCCGGGCGCGGCAGCCTCGGCCTCAGTCCGCGGCCCCCGCCCGGGACGGACAGCGCACTCACCTCGGACGCGCCTCCGGAGCCACCGGAGCCCGGGAAAGGAGGCGGAGCCGCGGGAATGAATGGAGCCGGCGGCTCGCTGGCGACCCCCGGCCGGTCCCGGGCCGCGTCGCTCGCGGCTGCCAGGGCGGGTGCGGCCGCCTCCCCCTCGCCCCGGACTCCCGGCTCCTAGTCGGCGGGTCGGCCGCAGCCCACCGTGCCCTCCGCCGGCGTGACGCACTGGCGCCGCAGCGCCTCCAGCCTTTGCTGCCGCGCAGCGCCCGCGCCCACCGCGAATCCCCCCGCCCGCGCCGCGCGGCCCCTCCTCGGCGCCGGGGACGCCGCCCTGCCTCCCTCCGGGCCCGGCCTTCAGACGGCCTCCGGGCAGGTGCGGGCTCGGCCAGCCGGGGGGCGCCGCGCGGCCCCCGCCTCGCCCCTGGCGCCCGCTCGGCCCGCGGCTGAGCGCGACGCCCCAGCTCAGGGCTGTGGCCCGGTATTAAAGAGTGACCTTGGCTTAGATACAAAAATAGGTGCGGGTAAGCTGCGGGGACTAGGACGCCGAATTTGCGTATTCCTTTAATGTCAACATTCGCAGAATCCCGTTTGCACACCCCAGCGGAGATCTCCTCCAGCCTGGCAATGGCGCGCGCCCTCCCAGAATTTACACTGGGTGAGCCAAGTCCTCGCGGCCTCTGGACTCGGATGCAGAGGGCGCGGGCAAGGGCCGTGGGCCTGCGCCCCGCCACCTCCTCCCTAAACCCACTGCCACCCAGGAGGATGCAAGGGAAGAGGAAGTCGAGCTCCCCAGGCACAATCTGGACGAGCCCAAGAGCCACGACTTCCATCATAAGATAATAAGGAATCACTAAATTCCTGCGTTGACCTTTTCTCTTTCAGAATGTAGGACAAGCAAACTAACCCAGACCCAGAAGGAGGGCGGCCCCACCCTCCTGTCTTCCTCTTCCCCTCCCCCTCCCCTCAGGGCCCTTTTGCTAATTACACTCAGAGGAAAGAAAGATCTGAAGTATTTAAAGCATGGTAGATTTCTTACACGTAATGCACGCCACGGTTTAACTATGTTTAAGAAAGGTACTGAGGATCAGTATTCTATGTAATTTTAAGACTTCCTTTTATACATAAACTCTGGAAAATAAACTTAACCATCCGAGAGCTGTGCCGTTGTTTTTTTCTGCTCACCCAGGAAATTTCAAATTGTTTCTTTCACTCCTCGAAAGTGATTAGCAATCACAATACCAATCTCACAAATTTAATAGTGATCAACAAGATCAATAACTACTTCAGAGAAGACTTGTTGATAGAGACACACTGGACTCAGATTTTTTCTAATCGGATAGGCTTTTCTGCCCCGAGTTGCTCTTAAAAAATAAGCTCACATCTACTATGTTTAATTTGTAACATTTAGCAGAAATCTTAAATGTTACATACCAAAGATTTACCTTTTTTTTGTTTTTTTGTTTTTTTCTTTTTTTTAAAGATTTACCATTTTTAGTGGACCTCAATAAACTAAACCTAATTCAGCAGGAATTTTGAATAGTTTGGTTTTTATGCACAGCAAATGTTGAATGAATGAAGTTCTAAAACCCTTGATTTACTATTTTTAGAGCTGTAGGTAAGTAGGAGTGTCCAGGGTAATCCCAAACAATTGCCACTTTGGGAAGATGTTCTTTTTGCTACCAGAGGCTACAGTTGTTGAAGCTGTAGGCCTCAGTACAAAGCTAGCCGGAACAACTTGTTCAGAATGTTTGAAATCATGGGCGTGACTGACTTCTACCTATATTGTAGGTGAGTACTTGTACCTGAGGGGCCTTGCTCCCCTATGTCTTGCCACTCTGGTGGGCATCAGAACTACACTCACCCCTATAAAAGAGTACAGTGGGGGCACCTGGGTGGCTCAGTTGGTTGAGCATCCGACTTCCGCTCAGGTCATGATCTCACGGTTCGTGGCTTCGAGCCCCGCGCCGCTTCGGGCTCTGTGCTGACAGCTAGCTCAGAGCCTGGAGGCTGTTTCAGATTCTGTATCTCTCTCTCTGACCCTCCCCTACTCGCACACGCTCTCTTTCTCTCTCTCTCTCCTTCTCTCAGAAGAAAAAAAAAAAAAAGTCCAGTGGTCCCATCCACCCAGCCCGTTAAAAGAGTCCACTGGCCCCAGCCAGGCAGCTCAACCCAGTTATCTTCCTGTGGCAAGGATCCTGCCTTTAAGAACCACTGAAGAAGTGCTGTCTCCTACTTATGTGAGAAGTCCTCGGGACACTGACTTCATTCTCTTTTCTCTACTTGCAACATTATGTGGCCTTGGGTGTTCAAGAAAAAAAAATCATTAACTTACCTCTTTGGCCACGATTCATTAAGTCCTGCTTGCCTGTTTACCTATACTCTTGAGGATCCATGAGCAATTACTGGGCAAAGAACTAAAAAGTGAGCCTTTACCAGATTAATACATGCTCTAAACGACTACCAAAACATTTTGAAATCTATGAGGTTTTGGTCTAAAATGTTTTGTAGAGAGTAAAAGGATTATGGCTTTGGTTTTCGTTGTTGGCTATGCTTGCTCTAATTATTATTTAGTTAAGTTATAAGCAGAAGGAAACATGCTAAGAGTTTCCATTGCATTTTTAGTGTATGTTCAAAGGGAAGTGGAGCCATTTTTATTTTTAAAGTAGTCTCTACACCCAGCATGGGGCTTGAACTGAACCCAGATATCAGGAGTTACAGCCTCTTCTGATTGAGCCAGCCAGGCACCCCAGGGGTGGAACTATATTAAGAGAAGATTGCCACAACTGGATTTTGGAGGTTGCTTACACAAATGCCCCAGAGAAGAGCACTTCGATAGCACTAGAAAATAGAGTTCCTAATGGCAAAAATAATGGCTAACGTTTTTGACTGATAAATGGCCAGGTACTCACTCTACTAACTTCTTCTTGGAAATTAACTCATTTATTTCTCATAATCATTCTTTGAAGTACATACTAATATTGTCCCCATTTAACGTAAGAAAGATTGAGGCACACAGAGAAGCTAAGTTATTACCCATGGTCACACAGCTAATAATTCTGGCAGTTTGGCTCAATGGCACACTTCCTTCACCAGTATTCTATACCATGTTTTATGCGCACAAAATCCTATGCCATACGATTGGATTTGGCTTTTGATGCCCTAAAACATATCAAATTCTCACGGCCTTAATGTTTAAATTATTTCTTAGATCTAATGGTTTTTCCTGGACATGAAGAGAAAATTAAACCCTTATTATAAAACTTGTAAGATTTTCTCATATCTGTTAAACAAAACTGTATCATCTGTTAGTTTGTGAAAGGCAAAAAAAAAAAAATGCTTTAAAACCTTTGTGCATCTTTTAAGGGTAATTGCTCTCCAAGGTCTTTTTTTCTTCAGGTTCCAGAGTGTTTTTATGTTTTATTTATATTTATATTTACTTAGTCTGTGGGAGAAATTCGATTCCCTAGAAGAGATTTACTACCATTTTTCACCCTCCATTATACTAAAATATGTAGAACTAGGATCTAATATATAGAGTATATGTTTTAAATTCCTAAAATCCCAGTAGGAAAGTTTTAATGAATGAAGCAGCCCAGAGACTTCCAGACCTAATATATTAGCTTATTAGGTAACTAGGTAGCTAATAATGTCAGCCATGGCAAAGGAGAAATGAGAGGGCAATCCTTCCTCCTTATACTAGAAGAAAAGGGACTCCATACCCTAGAATGCTTTGTTTCTTCCTCTGGCATATGAAATATGTCACAGGAATGTTTTCAGGATTAAATGGAGCAGTATGATGGGGTTTTCTATGTCCGGCAATACCACTCTCTGCAGATTTCAAATTCCTGAGTGATACTATGCACGGGGTTGAGGGAGGTTGGTGGAAAAAACCTGAAGAACAAGAGAAATAACAGGTTTGAGAAGTCCAGTTACACTTGTTTCTTCTAGTTTGGTTTGGTCTAATATGAAACAGAAGTTTAATCACAGAGTAAGTATTTCGTAAGTTCAGTTTGGGTTTAAGGGAAATAACGTGGTATTTTTCATATTACTAATGAAAAATTATATACATATTTACATCTATGGCAGATACTGCCAAGTTGCTTAGTTAATATCCATTCCCCCCACTTTTCTCTGACAGCCCCTGTGTTGTTCAGAGTGGCAGTGTGCCCAACTAAAACTATTTTCCTCCCCAGATTCCTCTTATGACTAGGATAGCTATACAATCATTGTGGCCAATGGAATGTAAACAAAAGATTGTTCAGTATAGTTTCCAGAAAGCTTTGTTTTCCTGATTTAAAAAAAAAAAAAAGATTCAGATATCCCTTTGCCTTTTGCCATTTGTACTTCTTTCTTCTTCCTGCTTGGGAAGACTTCTGTCTAGGATCGGAGCAGCTATCTTGAAGCCATGAACTGACCAAGGGAATGGAATCCATGTGTAACTATGTACAAGAGCCAAGAGACAGGAACCTGGGACGATGGTGACGTTCTGGAGGAGCTGCCACACCAATTCCACACCGCCTAGCTTCAGTCTTCTCTGTTACTTGCCAACAAGTGTAACCCTAACTAAAAGCCAAAGTTAAACACTGTCTTCTTGATATAGCTGGAAAAAAAAAAAAAGGAACATTCTTCTATAGTATATATGCTACACTATAGAGATATTATTCTTTGGTTTTGCTGCTGTATTAAGTAACTGCATTCTACAGAAATCAGTGACTTACCTACCTAGTACTTGGTGAAAAAACAAAGCCACACCAGTTTTT